ACAAAAAGAGAGAAAAATATCATATGGACAAATTTACTTGTGCTTGACATGCATATGTTTGATTGTGGTTATTTGATATATATGCTCTAACATATGTTTAGTGAGTTATGTTGGATTAGGATGTATAAATTAAGGGGGGAGTTTTGTCATGCATTGCTTAAGGGAAAGTTTTTCAAAATGTTTTTCAAAATCTTAAATGTTTCAAAGAAAATTTTTCATCAAGCAAATTTATCTTTAAGTTTTGTCATATCAAAAAGGGAGAGACTGTTAGCCTTGAATTGATTCTTATTTTGAAATGACAAAACATTAAAGATAAATAAACTTGAACAAAATTTTGAAAAAAATTTATTTAATACATGTTCTTAAGTTTTATATTTTGGTACTAAATAAATAATATGATTTTCAAAGTTTAAACAAACTTTTCTTGGTTTCATATTTCTCAAACCAAATCTATCTTTAAAGATTATTTATTTGAGCTTAAATGAAAGTTCAATTATTGTTTTTAAAGTGAATTTATTGATTTTGGACTTAATACAATTTTGATAATATTGGTTTTGAGAAAAAGATTAACTTAAGAAAACTGTTTTACGAGAACAAAGTTTTTCAATATTTAACTTTTTTTTGTATTAATTCACAAAGTTTTAATATTTGAATTTTATATGGTTGGAAAGCTCTTTGAGTATACTTTCTAATGGATTAAACAAAATCTAAATCTAAATTTTCTAAGAAAAGCTTTTAAATTTTTATTAGACACACTGCAGTTGTCTAAAAATTACACAAGGGGTAGATTTAAAAATTCACTATAATTCGTACACAGTGAATTAGGTGATGACTTTATATGGATAAAAATTGCTTTAAGTCTAGTTTCTAAATCTTCAAACAGTTTGTAATTTGAATTTGTATAACTCAATATATGATCAAATTAGTAAGTATAGTGCAAAACGGGAGACTACCACCCGACATAGACAGGATCGATCCCCTCTAGAAGGGATCGATTGCTTTTTCAAACAGAATGCTCCCATGAATGAAAATCTAGAAAAGGGATCGATCCCTCCACATAGGGGATCGATCACCCCATTAACCAATCAATCCCTTACAAAAAGGGAAGGGATCAATTAGTTAGGCTATTTTCAAGTGAAATATGGTTCAAAACATGAACCAATCGATCCCCTCAAGCAAAGGATCGATTGGTTATGGGCGTAAGCACACCAACGACTACTTTTTCATGATTCCAATGGGCATTTCTTCACTCCAAGCTTCCCAACAGCTAATTTTTCAATTTATCTATAAATTAGGTACTCAAACACACCAAAAGCATTGATGAATCAAGAGAGCAAGAGCCAATAAGTCATATTTTCATTCTCTCAAATAATCAACAGTTTTAGAGCTTCAAAGTCCATATCTTTATATTTGTTGTATCCAAATTATATTTGTTGTTCATTCATCATTTTCTTATAGTTAAACTTAGCAAACACTTAGCTTTAGAGAGGTTGTTCAATTGTTTACAAAATTACCTTTGATATACAAGGGTGGAAGAGAACAAAATGTGAGGTATCCTCTTAATATTGTAAGGGTAAAGGTTGTTATCTAAGCTTTGAGAAAAAGATAGAGATTTAGTACAATATAGGCTTGTATCTTGTAAAAAAAATTTTTCAATTAGTGGATTGAAGCCTTGGGTGGACAACCAAGAAAGAGGACGTAGGTGCCTTGTGGAGAAGGATCGAACCTCTATAAATCATTGTGTTTGATTTCTCTATCCCTATCTCCTTACAATTTATTATTATTTATATTTGATTTTAGGTTCATTAATTGTTATTGTTAGCATTATATTTTTATCAAAAGTGTTTATTGTTTTAATTTTCATTCAATTATATTAAAATCATTTGTTTGGAAAGAATTTGAAGAAATCCAATTTACCTTCCTCTTGGATCACCATTTCACCTATAAAGCTAATAGTATAAAATGCTTAAATTGTCAAAATAAATAAAATTTTATAAGAATAAAAGTCACAAATGGTGATTTTATCAAAAATTTTTAAGCAAGGTATTTTTCTCGAAATAGTCTGAAAGTGTCGAAAATATTTTAAGAGTTTAACTAATAAATTTTTTTTATCTCAATAATAAAATAAAAAATAAATAAATATTACAAAATAGACTAAAATTTTTCGTCAATAATAAAATTAAGAGGAAGTTAGAAGTGGTGATTTTTTTAAAAAATTTTAGAATCATATCACAAGTGTTTGTATAAAGAAATTATAATCTACTTTGCCATCAAAATATTAAAAATAAATCCGATAACGAAGCCCCTTTAAGAAAATAAGTGATTTTTTTAAAATATTTTTAAGATGAGAAAATTTTTTTAAGTTATACCAAAAATGTCAAAAATAACTTAGAAATTTTTTTATATTCAAATAATAAAAATAAGTAAAAGACTATTCAAATAATATTATTTTAGGATCATATAAGATTAATTAGTAATGTTTTCAAACGAGTGTTGTAATGCTATAACATTTCTCATACGCAACCGTATTCTTCAACCCAACCTCAAATTCGTAGACCAAAAATAGGATTGGTGATCAATCGCATCTCAACAAAAAAAAATTGATGGCGACTATTGATATATTACATCTAACGATCGAGTGTCTCGAATAAAAAATCGTTATGACATTGACATCTAATTTAGAATTCAATTATCAAATTGTATTGCCGATTTAAGTCAATTTTAGTTCATGATTAGCTTAGGAATAAACCTAATATATAATTTAATCAAATCTTGTGGAAAATCCATTTCTTACTCTTAAAATATAAATAGTAGGTAGTTGGCTAATGCATTAAAGAAAGCTAGAGTGGAGAAGGCATCAATGGAAGGTGTTTTCTGTTTTCTATTATTATTATTATTATTAAAAAAAAATGACTCGTGCCATTAAAAGATATCTAATATTTTTAATTTAAAAATCTCAAATTCAAATATTATAAACTAGGAAAAAGTTGCACCTTGATTTATATATACTTTGAAAAATATCAAATAATTATCCTTATCAATACCAACAAATAAGGATGAAAATACTGCATAGTAAAACAAAATAAATCTCAAACAAGACTAAAAAAAAAAAAACTAAAATCAAGATGATTATGAGAAAAGCATTATTTTTCAATTCAATTTCGGTGCTTTTTTTTGTGTACGCCAAGATCCAACAATCTGAAGTACTGATCCACTGTTGTTGGACTAAACAAAACATGGAAACCTTTTTATTCTGCTTGCCAGATCCACGGTGGAATTGGGTTTTGGTCGTGGTCTTTACCCTTTAGACAGCCAGACCAGTTTTAAAAATAAGGCCCAATTGGTTACCTAAGTTTTCATTCTTGGGCCTATGAAAATGATTCATCTTCCCAGTTGCTGGCTTTGATGGATCTCTTTAATCTTAATTGGGCCTATTAAAATGGTTCATCTATCCAATTGGTTGTGATTTTAGTTACTAATTTTATTGAATAAAAAAATTGTCTTAACCTCCTTTAGTAAATGTCAAAATGGGCATATTCAACCTTTAGATCTAATGACCTTTTTAAGTGATTTGCAATGGGAGTCTTGCCCTTATGTCTGATTTAATTATGATACTTATATCCTCATATGGACTTTATAATTGGACCTACATACTATAAATGATTTAATTCTAAAAACTTCAAAACTTTTTTAGGCCGCACTAAACACTTTGAATTTATAAGTGAGGAATATTCAACAATTAGCAATAAATCTAAATTTCTTTGAAGGTAATAATTTGAATTTGGCAATTGGAGTTGTTAAGTTTTGAATTTTTTTTTTATGATTTTATATTTAAGTTTGGACATTTCATTATTGTCAATTATTTTTAGAGTAAGTGTTTAACATGATAATAAAACTTAAATTTGGTCTGTTGTTATTTTTTTTAGGGTCATAGATCTTGTAACTTTTGTGTAGGATGAAATTGTACTTATCAAACAAGATGAGAGCTTCATGCAGTGAAAGCCCTCGGAAACTTTAACAAAGTTTGGACGCCTTGAGTCTTGACTTGGGATTTTCTATTGAAAAGATCAAAGTTGAGAAACTTTTTTGCCATTAAGAATTGTCAAACATCATACTAGCTTTTTCATGACAAAAAATGCTCCTTTCAATTCATCCTTATCCTTGTAAGTAATGGTGTTCATACATTTAACTACATGATGGCAACTCTCATTTAGCAGGAAGCCTGAAACAAACTCGCAAAATCACACACGGAACTTCGTCTTCTTCGAGAATTAAAATTGCCGAGGAGTCCCTTTCTTTGTCAAACTGAATTTGATTTTTATGAAAAAAAAAACTTTAAAATTAAAATATTGAATGCATTAAATCAATAAAAAAGTTTGCCGAGTTTGTCTCTCTCCATCTCCCTTTGGCTCCCCTTTTTTTACTTCCATTTGAGATTACTAATTAGAAGAGTACACCTATCACAAAGAATATAGAGTTATCATATTCTTCATTTGCTCACCAGCTTAATGCCATCAGTTGAGTTGATCTTCCGAAATTGAGCTTAATTTTTAGCACAACTATTCATCTACCTCAATCCAACAAAATTCTTGGACTGGAAGCTTGCAAGTTATTGCCTGTTTTCGGCAGTGGGATAGAAAAGAGACCTTGAGCACTAGCCTTCGATCATTTCATTTTCATTCTAGACTGAGTTAGGCTAACTTCAAACCTAAGTAACTTTGTTTTCCCTTGTTTAGATGATGGTGTAAGCTGAACAACTGTCACTATTTCTGCCACATAGAGGGAGATTAGCAGGCAATGACAATGAAATTAATCATAGGTACTTAATTTCTAGCATTTGCTACACTCCATTGCAAGAATGCAAACTACCATCAGATTCAAAGCTACCTTGGGCCTTTCACTAATTTTATAATGTGCCACAAGCTGATTGATCAATGTTTAATTTCAGTTCACTTTCGGCGCATCATTCTCATTGGTTAGAACTTACTAGGAAGATCTAGCTGAACCTGAGAGTTGTATTTAAAATAATTACCTGACCGGTTCTATTAGTAATTTGGGTACACGATAGGCGCTTAAATATAATTAAATACAGAGTTGGCACGAGGAGTGCAAGCTTTTGACTCAGTGAAAGAGTCGTCAATTTTTAAATGACTTCGAAGAGAACATAAATTAAAACTTGAAAAATGTTCTCAGACATCTTGTTTTCCGATTGATCTTATTCGCGAATGAATTGGAATTGCAGAATAAAAGAATGTCTCAAGTGTCACGCATCTTCTTCCCCTGTTTTCTGTCCCCCTACTGCCATGAATGGTTGAAGCTTTAGGGAGTCAATGCGATAAGTTGATTGTTCAATGAAAATTGAACCTCAAATTAGGTAATTGGCATTGGAAGCTAGCGTCTTATCCTAGCCCTACAAACATCGAATTCAAAGGCAATTGAACTGTCTTAAAGGCATTGAACTATCGCCAAAGCCAGGCTGCAGCTTTTGCTTGGCCTCCATGATCAAGGCATTCATTTAACAATTTTGTGTTTTTACTTTTTTCCTCACCAAGAAAGCAACAAAAATATTACAATAGGATGCTGACAATAACATCTTCGCTATGTACATCCAAAAAACCCAAAATGACGTTGTAAAGTTTAAAGAATTTCTCATCCAACACTCCACACCCAGTATCTAGTATCTATATGCAAAATCCAAAGCCATACATTACTGTACTAATCACAGAGTAAGATTTCACAAATTCTCATCCTCAAACCTATCTTTCCAAAAAAGAAAACAAAGAGAAAAAGGTGAACATGGGAAATTTCCCTAATTTCTGCTGAGCGTTAGGTTGTGTGTGGCACTTGCGTTTGACACCCTTCTCCCTCAATTTTAACATTGCTACCATTGTTGAAACTGTCACCTTGCCATGTCCAAACGATGTCTTTCAATGCAGGCCTAACATCTTCCTCGCAAAACTTAGCATACTCGAAGGTGTCCCCGGAAGACTTAGAGAACTCCACAACTGCAACCTCTGGTGCCACCTCAAACACCTCCGCCGTCACCGACAGCCGTCCTTTCCTCCCCTCTGATGACCCTTGTAATCTCATCTTGAAGTCCTTGACTTTACCCACCCTGAAGTTCAACCCCTTTGCAACACCTTCAATTTTAGTCATGATGGCACTGGCCGAACATCTTGACGTGAACATTGTCCCCGATTTCCTCTTATTTTCAAACAAACTTGACAAATCAAACCCTGATGACATAGAGGAAATGAACTCAAATGCGTTAAAGAATTTCGGAGACGATAGTTTGTTAGTCTTGGGGGCAGAATCATCATCCTCTATGTTATCCGATATTGGTTCTTCGACTGAAAACGCAAGGGGACGTGTGAATCCCTTTCTAAACCAAGGAACACTCATTATAGCTGGAATTGTGATCCTTCTTTCAGGGTCTGCCACGAGTAGTTTTGAGATCAAACGCTTTGATTCTGTTGAAAACCAGGGTGGAAACTCAAATTCAGCTTTGAAAACTTTCCTGTACATCTTCATGATATTCCCATCTTGAAAAGGCAAGAAACCTGCAAGAAGAACATACAAGATAACCCCACAAGACCAAATATCTGCTTTGGATCCATCGTAGCCTTTTTTCCTCAAAACCTCGGGGGCAACGTAAGCTGGAGTCCCACACTGCGTGTGAAGGAGCCCATCATTGCGAAGTTGCTCAGGCAAGGCTGACAAGCCAAAATCAGATATCTTTAGATCTTCATTCTCGTCCAAAAGAAGGTTTTCTGGCTTCAAATCTCTGTGTGAGACACCTCTACTATGGCAAAAATCGACTGCGCTTATCAGTTGTTGAAAGTACTTACGAGCAGCATCTTCTTTGAGTTTGCCTTTATAAACTTTTGCAAATAGCTCACCGCCACGGACATACTCCATAACGAAGAAGATCTTGGTTTTTGTAGCCATGACTTCTTTGAGCTCCACTATATTTGGATGACGAACAAGACGCATGACAGAGATTTCTCTCTTGATCTGCTCCATCATGCCTTCTTTCTTCACCTGATCTTTGCTGATGACTTTTATCGCCACGCTTTCACCCGATGTCAACTCCTTCCCATAGTAGACTTTTGCGAAAGTGCCTTTCCCAAGCAATCTCCCCATCTCATATTTCCCAAACAAAATATATCTCTGCTCCATGATAGTCGCCTCCTATGTAAGTCCTAATGCTTTCTTTTTTTTCTACCCAATAAAATTTGGTAACTTTTTGGCTCTGCTGCTACTGAAATCTCATGGACCCAAAGCTACTTGGGTGGTTTTGCAAAGATGAGAAATTTAAGGGAATCCAGGAAAGGATATAGGATATGCTGATTTTAAAGGATTCCATTGATTAAGATATTCTAATGGGGTGTAAGGAGAGTTGATTAAGGAGAGTGCTGAGTGGAGTGATAAGTGATGGGTTGCCCAAAAGAAGCCATTGGAGCACCTGGTATTGTCTTTTGAAAGACTTGGGGCTGCCGCAACAGCACACGGAATGAAATCTTGATAAAATGTTTCAATAATGATAACTGGTATAATAAGGAAGACGCGTTTTATGTTGTGGACCTTTATAGACTATATTCAACTTTACCTTTTTATCTTCAAGTAAATTCTATGTTTCTTTCACTCTGTTCCTCCGGTCGCTAGGATTTGCTGTTCAAAGGATCAGGGAGGTGGGGTCCATTTTTGGTCGTATGCCTACGGTGAGCTAGTCTACCATACCTCTTTCCCAATTGTAACCACTGACGCTGGAAATTTTTTCTCGTTGAAGTTTTGAAATAAGTTAAAATCTGATAACAATCTCTTATCTCTTGTACATTAACTATAATAGTATATATGATCATTTAGTCAAAAGCTCCTCTCTGATTTTTTCTTTTTAGTTAATGTTAACAATGATTTTGTATTAGAGTAATAAAATTAATAGTATATCTAAATTTTAAAAATTAAATTATAAATTTATTAATAATTTGATACTCATATTAACATAATTAATTTTAAATAACGATAAATAATAAACAAATAATTCTTAAAAATTATATTAAATAAAAAATTTATAATTTAAATATTATATTAAAAATTTTACTTTAACAATCATTCCTAAAGTTAAACATTTCATTTTTAATTTTACCTTCTCAGTTCTATGAGTGTAATCGAATCGAGTCGAGACGATACAGTAAGAAACTTGAGTTTGCGCTCTACTCTCAACTCCCAACTTAATATTTAGCTCGAACTCGATTGAGTTTCATTTTTCTAGCTCAAACTTGATTCGTGATCGACATCGAACTACTTGAACTCACTCGAATAGATTCGTTTATCAATAAAAAATAAGTTTGATTCTATACTCGATTTTAAGTTTGATTATTGGTACTCGAATTTGAGCTCAAATTAAGATTTTTCAATACAAATATTTTGTTTTAATTAAATCTGATATATTTCAAAATAATATCATAAAAATAAATTAATAATCTCATATAACAATCAATCCAACTTGAATATGCAAATGAAAGATAAAATGACAAAGTTCAAAGTAGTCAAAATCTAATAAAATTGAAAGTTCATAAATTTTTATGAGGTGATTATTTAAAGTATTTTTTGAGAAAAACACCTTAAAAAATCTTCAAAAAAATTTTAACGGAGTTATTAAAGACATTTATAGCCAAAAACACATTCAATAATACCCTCATAAATTTTTATGAGGTGATTACTTAAGGCAAAAAATGCATTGAATAATTTTCTCTATTTTTGTATTGGGGATTTTTCAATGCTTTTTTTTTTCAAAAAATATTTTGAATAATCTCTTACAAAAACGAGAATAGGGTTATTTAAGGTATTTCTTGCTAAAAATACCTTTAATAATCTCTTAGTAAAAAAATTTAATGGGATTATTGAAGGCCTTTTTGTCATAAATGCCTTCAATAACCCTATTCAATTTGTTGTATAAGATTATTTAAGGTATTTTTTGATTAAAAATACCTTGAATAATCCATAAAAAAATTACGAGGGGATTATTGAAAACATTTTTTGTCAAAAAACCTTGAATAATCCCATTCAATTTGTTTTCTGGCCAAAACACCTTGAATAATCTATGAAAAAAATTATGAAGAGATTATTAAAAGTATTTTTTGTCAGAAACGCATTGAATAATACCATTTAATTTTTTTAAAGGAATGTTTAAAGTGTTTTTGGCAAAAAACGCCTTAAATAATCCACTCATAAAAATTGATAGGGATTATTCAATGCGTCATTAGCCAGAAATGCATTCAATAATCCTATTCAATTTTTTTAAGGGATTATTCTAGGTGTTTTTTGCCCAAAACATCTTGAATCATCCATAAAAAAAAAGTAAGGGGATTATTCAAAGTATTTTTAACCAAAAACACCTTGAATAATCAATTCATAAAATTTGATGAGGATTATTTAAGGTATTTTTTATCAGAAATACCTTGAATTACCTCATTTAACTTTTTGTAAGGGATTATTCAATATTTTTTCTAGGCAAAAACACATTGAATATTCTTTTACAAAAAATTGAATGAGGTTATTCATGACGTTTTGGCAAAAAACGCCTTGAATAATCCCCATCAATTTTTATGAGTGGATTATTCAATGTATTTTTAATCAAAAATACCTTCAATAATCCCCTTATAAAAATTTTTTATAAGGATTTTCAAAATGTTTTCGAGCTTAAAACGTCATGAATTATTTTCTTCAATTAAAAATTAGATTATTTAAGTTTTCATCATATATGCCAAGGAGATTATAGTAATTATTCAAGATTTAATATATATAGATTCTTCTTAACTAATAATGTAAATGAGACATATGTATTCATAAGCTATTCGGGCTTGATTTGAAAAGAATTTGAATTCGATTCAATTGTTGTTCAGCTGAGCTCGAGCTCGAGCAGCTTGAGTTATTGAACAAGTCGAATTCGAATATTTTAATATCCAACTCAAGTGACTTATGAGCTTAATCGAGCTTTTTATTTTTAATATATTTTTGATATTGTATTACTTATTTACTTTTTTACCCTTAAATATATATACATACTTAAAAACCCTATAAGGGCGTTTGGTTCGTGAAATCGTAGATTCCAGAAAAAAATGTAATCTTTGGAAAAATGCGATTCATAGGGTGTTTTTTCATTTTCAAAGTATCCCATGTTCAAGTTCACTTATTTGGTTGAAAAAAATTCATATATATTAAATCCTAAATAATTACTATAATCTCATTGGCATATATGATGAAAACTTAAATAATCAATTTTTTAATTAAAAGAGATTATTCATGGCATTTTAAACTTGAAAATACTTTGAATAATTATTGCAAAAAATTTTTATAAGGGGATTATTAAAGGTACTTTTGACCAAAAATACCTTAAATAATTCTTTCTAAATGCCTTTAATAATCCCTTTTAATTTTTTGAAGGGGATTATTTAAGGTGTTTTTGACAAAAAACGCATTAAATAACCCTATTCAATTTTTGTAAGAAAATATTTAAGGTGTTTTCTATCAAAAAATACCTTGAATATTCTCTTAAAAAATTAAATTATATTATTCAAGATTTTTTTTGCTAAAAATACCTTGAATAATCCCTTCCAAATTTTTTTTATGGATTATTTAAGGTATTTTTTGGTAGAAAGCATTTTCAATAATAACTTAAAAAAATTGAATGGAGTTATTAAATGTGTTTCTGGCCAAAGACGCATTGAATAATCCTCGTCAAATTTTATGAGTTGATTATTCAAGGTGTTTTTGGGCAGAAAACACCTTGAATATTCTTTTTAAAAAATTGAATGAGATTATTTAAGACGTTTCTAGCAAAAAACGCCTTTTAATAATCCCCTTGTAATTTTTTTATGGATTATTCAATGTATTTTTTGTCAGAAAATGCATTGAATAGTCCTATACAACAAATTGAATGAGGTTATTGAAGGCATTTTTTACCAAAAAAACTTTTAAAAATCTCGTTAAATTTTTTTACTAGGAGATTATTAAAGGCGTTTTTAGCTAAAAATACCTTGAATAATCTCTTTCTCGTTTTTGTAATGAATTATTCAAAACATTTTTTAGGAAGAAATGTCTTAAGAATCCCTATTACAAAAATAAAAATAATTATTCAATACATTTTTGTCAAAAACGCCTTAAGTAATCACCTCATAAAATTTTATGAAGGTATTATTGAAGACGTTTTTTGCTATAAATACCTTTAATAACCCCATTAAATTTTTTTTTGAGATTATTAGAGGCGTTTTTATCAAAAAATGCCTTGAATAATCACTTTATAAGAATTTGTGAACTTTCAATTTTGTTAGTTTTCAGCTACTTTGAACTTTGTCATCTTATCTTTCATATGCATATTCAAGTTGGATTGATTGTTGTATTAGGTTATTTATTTATTTTTATGATATTGTTTTGAAATATATTAGATTTAATTTATACAAAATATTTGTATTGAAAAATCTTAATTCGAGCTCGGATTCGAGTACCAATAATCGAGCTTAAAATCGAGTATGAAATCAAACTTATTTTTTACTAATAAACGAGCCTATTCGAGCTAGTTTGAATAATTCGGTTTCAATTATGAATCGAGTTCGTGCTAAAAAAATGAAATTCAATTGAGTTCAAGTCAAGTATCGAGTCGTGAGTTGAGAGTCAAGCTTGAGCTCGAACTTTTCACTGTATCGTCTTGACACGATTTGATTACAACCCTATCTCTAATCAAACGAGTAAATCTAAATACGAGATACCTTGAAAATAGAAGAAAACTCCAGATATTACATTTTTTTGGGGATTACACTTTCTCTTGGAATCTATGATTCTGCGAACTAAATGTCCTTTTAAGGTTTTTAAATATGTATATATATTTAAGGGTTAGTAATAAAAAATTAAAAATATATATTAAAAATAAAAAGTTCGATTAGGCCGACGAGCCACTTGAATCGAATATTAAAATACTCAAATTCGACTCATTGATTTGATTAAACAACAATCGAATCGAATTTAAATTTTTTTCAAATCAAATTCGAATAATTTAAAAGTACATATGTCTTATTTACATCCTTATCTAATTCCATGCTTCAGTGTTATTTCTTGGCCTGTTATGTGGAGATATTTCTTAGTTAATAAAAAAATAAAAATTGTTTGCCGACCAAGGAAAGATTCTTGCAACTTAATAATAATAATAATAATTATTATTGTTATGGGACACCTTGAATGTATAAAATAAGAATCTAAATATGAAATGTTCATAGAAAAAATAATAAAAAATAAATAAATACCCAAAAATCCAAAATCTTCAATCCTCGGATCAATGTAAAATTCAGTTGTGAGGTGCCGTTATAATTCAAATTTGACTTTAACATATGAATTATTCTTTAGGAATAATTAACATGAGGTTGATTCAATTGATAATCATTCTCTTTGATATAAAAATATTTTATTTGAATCTAGATGACCTCTTATTAGAGTTATATCAAATAAACTCTTTTCTTTTTTCCACCTTGATTTCTGTTGCATTTCTTTGTTTGAATTTTCGGGTGT